TCTTTATGTAGAGCGCCATATATAAATGCTCGATGTGATCATTCGGGTCCGATGGCACCTCCAATTTCAAGCAAGTTTTGCAGAGACTTCTTCGAAGTTACTCTGGAGTTAGATTGCATATGAGAATGAAGAAGATAATTTTGATAGCAACATTGATTTATTGCTGCGACAATAACATTCAGAGGCGAATTTAGAAGTTTAGATAAAAAGTATTTGAAGTTTTCATAGGTTTGTTTTAACGCCATTTTGTGTTACTCAACTATGTAACTTAATTAATTCTAATTATTAAAGAGAGCCACGGATTTGTCAATAACAGGCCCTTAATTTTTTGCTATAGATCGACTACAATGTACATTAATATATTGAATACATTTAAATCAAATTTAGATCAAGCTTAATATTGTGATTTTAAATGGGGCCCTCCCCCTTTCGGACATCTCTGGATTTGCCCGCTGATTTTCGTATAATTTTCGTAGTATTTCAAATGAATGTACCCACTGTTGTCTTCTAAGATGGCGTTATCTCGATCGAACCCACTTTCTCCTCCTCCCCCTTTTTCGGCCCCGGCCCTCCCCTTTCGGATATCACTGGATTTGCCCTTGAATTGGCCTGCATGCCAGCAACTAAAGAACATAGGCTATTTATTTTTAACATTGTTCTGTGTGTATATCATTTGAATTTCTTCAATTTCAAACAAATGACCGCTGATTTACGTATAATTGTTGTAGTATTTCAAATGAATGTACCCACTGTTGTCTTCTAAGATGGTGTTATCTCGATCGAACCCTCTTTCGCCCCCTCCCCTTTTTTTCGGCCCCAGCCCTCCCCCTTTCGGACATCTAGATTTGCCCCTGAATTGGCCTGCATGCCAGCAAGAGGCTATTTATTTTTAACATTGTTCGGTGACATATCATTTGAATTTCTTCAATTTCAAACGAATGACTGATTTTCGTATAATTTTTGTAGTATTTCAAATGAATGTACCCACTGCTGTCTTCTAAGATGGTGTTATCTCGATCGGACCCACTTTCGCACCCCCTCCCCTTTTGTCGGCCCCAGCCCTTCCCCTTTCGGACATCTAGATTTGCCCCTGAATTGGCCTGCATGCCAGCAACTTGAGAACATAGGCTATTTATTTTAAACATTGTTCTGTGTATATCATTTGAATTTCTTCAATTTCAAACGAATGACCGCTGATTTTCGTATAATTTTTGTAGTATTTCAAATGAATTTACCCACTGTTGTCTTGTAATCGGATTAAAATCTGGCCGAATTTTGGCCCATATCGAAAAAAAGTTTGGCCGAATTTGGCCGTGAGATGGCGTGTGTTTGGCCGTGAAGCCTGTCGCGACTATCTGGCAACCCTGGGCAGCAGCGAAGTGTCACTGCAGCAAAACACAATTGAACAATGGAGGAAATATCCTCCATGATTGAACCTTCCTAGGCCTAATCGTATCGTATCCGAAACGATCAAAACCAACATGATGGCTCACTCATGTTTAGGTTTAGGCCTACGAACGTTGCTAGTATTATTCTCACACATGTGTATTATAAGATGTTATATAATGCACATAGATGTACCCGAGGCAACAGAGTGCTTAAATGAAAGTTGTGGCGTTACATATCAACCAGAATCAGCGCTAATTCTTTGTTCGAATTTGTGAGTACTAACCTGCATAGGCTAGCCCAGGCCAGGCCTATAGGCTACCTCAGAGCCTCTTGCGAGCTAGGCACTACACACTAGCCTAGTACGGGCTTGGCCAGCAGGCCTACACAAAAATGTACTAAATTAGGCCTAAAACCTAGCTCTCACTTTGGCCTATATATTATTTAAGTGCAGCGTAGTAAAGTAGGCCCATGTAGGAGCCTATTGGTGAGGGTGGGGGTAGGGTGCTGGGTGCGGTCTTGTTTTATTACTCCTAATGATTTTTGAGGCATAGGGCAGGCCCCTGTTGTTTTTTGAACTAGGCCATGGTCTGTATTTTGAGTTTAGAGACCAAACCCTGTCCCCGGGCCCTAATAGTGATATACCGTCTCAAATTTTCAGGCCCCAAATGTGGTCAAAATTTGGAGGGCATGGCCTAACTCAGACTGTATTTGACTTAAACGAAAGGTATGATGAATAAATTTATACATATCATTTTGGTCGCGCCATATTGTTATGCATTTCAGAACACGATAAACAGCCTCAGTATGGAACGCCGATGTACGCACTAGTGCTTTATGTTTGGAAAGTAATTTTTAAAGAATTCTGTATTTTTAAAGCCCATACTGTGATAGAGCTAAAAGTTCATGATAAGAAGAATTAGTAGGTCACTTTTTAAATCGTGAAAGAATTATTTTATTCTGGAAACCTATTCTTTATAATAATGGAAGGGCCATAATAATCTGGGGCGGATACATGGGCTGCAACAATGCGATCGCACCCCCACCTTTAAATTGTGTTAAAAAACATTTTTTCTATTGTATTGTTAATATGTACATAGTACCTGTACAATTTTTAAGTGAGAATTATTGAATGCTGTAAATTTTGTAAATTCGTACTATGATATAATAAATAGGGTCATTGTAACATCAATCTATATCATGGAGTGTATTTAACTGTCATTAAATCACCAAAATTGTATAAACCAAGCTTGTTTTCAATTTATTTTGTTTTTTGAAATCCATGAAGTGTATTTACTGTTTCGAAAAAAAGCCTATGCTACTTTGAAAAGAATCCCATTCCTTTTTTCGAGGCAAATTTTACAAACTAAAGAGGGGGCTTCAATTTAAGATGGGCTTCATCTCGTGATTTATTTAATTAAATCCATTTAACTTCAAATTGAGGTTTTGTGGTATTTATAAAATCCCATGGTGACAATTATAGTAATGATAAAGCATGAATGGTTAATTGATATTTTTACAAGTATGACCATGAAACAGTTAAATTACTAGTAATTTAACTGTTCCCTGGTATGGCTGAGTGGTATAATAGAATAGTGTGTGTTTCGAACTACAAACACAAAACTGTGATAAATAGAATTGAGGCAGTGAAAAGTGGAAAATTTGTGGTTAAATTATAGATACACTCTGGACATATTTTGTACCTGAAGCAATGAAACATGACACTTTTTTTTTTATAGGAAATTTTGTTTTTTACATGTAAATCTTTCAAGTCTTCTCAGAAATAAATCGGTAAATGGTTTCATAATTATTTGTATTGTGATCTATTATGTCTCTTGTAAATAATTTTCGGACCCTGTCAGACAGCCTCTCTGAAGCTATCTGACAGGATGTTTTGTCGACGGACAGCTTGCTGACAGAGGTTTCATCGACAGTGTCCATTTTAATCGAAATATGCTCGCCAACAGCTAAATTCAGTGCTTTTGGCATTGTATTAAATAACTTATGAGCATGTTAATATATCTATTCCTCGCACAAGTAGGCCTGTATAATCCAATTTAAACATTATTTATCAATTAAAGTAATTCAAACTATTATTGCTCGAGTTGTACAGTCGCAAAGTACTTAAAAATATTTAATAAAAAATATAGATGTGTTTATTATAGGCCTGTATGTAATATTTTTGGCAGAATCTTGTGTTGCATAATTAATATATTGAAAGAGTGTCTGCATGTATGGATACTGTATATATATAAATAACGACTTTCCATGACGATCCAGTCCTCCACAAAAACAAAAAAAAAAAAAAAAAGAAGAAAAATCTGTCAGCGAAACATCAATCACAACATCACAAAAATAAATTGTCGGCGAAATGTCTGTCAGCGAATTGGTTGTCGGTGAATTGGTTGTCGGCGAATTGGTTGTCGGCGAATTGGCTGTCGGCGAATCGTCTAGTCTGCGAATTCTATTTTGGCAAATTCCAGTGTCAGTGAATTTTCTTTCGGTCAACTGTCTGTCGGCTAAACGTTCGTTGGCAAACTGGCATTCGGCGAAATGCCCTAGTACCGGCAAAATGTTAATTATTTCTATCTATGTATTTTTAATCATTAGAAAAGTATATTCACTGTTGGACTAAAAAAGTAGATTTTATTTGAGTATAAACTTCAGACGTCAGCTACATTGTAAATATACAATGGATGAACGCAAAACAAATGTTTGACCTTTCTTTAACCTATTCTGCATATTAATGCCTGACATCTAATCAGAAATCCATTTTTAACAATTTTTTTAACGCAGTGACTATTTTTACGACGAGTCGTGAAGATAGTTTCCAATGCTATTCTTACGACGCGATTGCGTCCCTCACCGCAAGGGAAAATAAACAAGTCTTGAACTGAGCGAACCGCGATGCTAAATCTAGCCTAGGCCCAGAGGAAGGCCACACAGGCTTGGTAGATGCCAGCCTATGCAGCGGGTTAGCTAGGAGTGAACTACATGTACGCAGCTGGGAATAGCGTACATATTGTAGGCTTACATTCATACTTTTATAACAGCTCCCTGGTCTTGGGTGGGTGGCAGTATATATATATAAAAAATGAATTTTGTAAAACACAAAAATTAGGCCTAAACATGAAAAATGTATGTGAGCCTAGGGCCTATTTATCCCCAAACGATATATAGGCCTAACAGCTAAGCCTACAAAATTGTTTTCATGTTCAATTTTGTGAATGCGAATCCCCACTCGATGGCCGGTTCCTGAAATGTTATTACCAATTATTTTTATTTGATAATATTACAGTTTATTAATTGGTGTTATTTTTCTCTTTTTACAGAAACAATGCAAATGCAAGTCGATTGGTTTGACTCTGAGACACATATTGTCATTGTTGCGTTTCCCGATTATTTGACCATGTTGTATAAAATGGAGATTTATGAAATAAGCATGTCATTTGTTTTGCATATGATTGTTTTCTTGTTTGCTGCCTTTCCATATCATGTTTATAATATTAAATATAGGCCTATGTATAAATAAAAATAAAATATAGGCCTACTGTGATTTGATGAAGTAGGGCAGCGCCAGGAATTCCCGACGAGGGGGTCTAAGCTCCCCGATAAAATTTGTAGGAGAATTTTTTTTCTTTATTCAAAAATAACATTTTGTGTTAATTATGGGATCTTTTTATCCTGTCAAAAGTACCAGCCCCCAGTCCGGGAAGAGCTGGCACCACCACTGCAACCCCCACTGCTCGCACTACACAGTTTTTAATCCCTACAATTTGACAGCTTAGTAAGGCATGCTTAAATTGTAATTTCGGCGCTCGAGATTTTATTTTTCCCCAACGACCCTGCTGGAAATTCTCCGACAGGGGGTCCAAATGTCCCAGACTGGGGTCCTTTGCCCCTCTGGGCCCCGCTAGCGCTGCCCCTTTGATAAAGGGGATGGACTATTAAAGTTCCCCAAAAGGTTCCCGCACCCGTTCCAACGGTACTCTTTAGGTAAAGCTCAAACAAGTTTTGTACTTCCTTCTTTTATTTCCATTTTGGGATACATAGGTAGGCTGATTACTGTTTAAAATACACCAATAATACACACATGCTTATTAAAACTCTAAATTCACTCTGATGAGGCCTATTACCTGTACTAATTGCTTGGATCATGTACCATAAAAATACTGTATCAGAAAGAATCGTTATGTTCCCACAAACAAATTTCCACGGTACTTTTGAGGGTGAAGCAGACACATTTTTGCACGCCAGCTTCAGGAAAGTGGGTGCACTTTCACAGGGTAGATGCTAAACATAAACGACTGGCTATTTTTAGATGCAACCCATGTAATGGTAGTGAACATGTCGTACGTGCGTTTACCTAATAATTATTAATTATTGTCACAAGTATTGAAGTACACGATGGCGTGTACTTCAATACTTGCACATGTATTATACTTTCTTATTGCATATAGGCCCTACTTTACAAAAATCAGATAGCCTATCAATGCATATTTGATTGAACAGATTAATTCAATATTGTAACAAACACATTGGCCTTTATTATGAAGCATTCATAAATTGAAAAGTTACTACTGTATAAAAAAAATGTACTGTATACGTCCGATCGCACTTCACTTCTGGGACTGCAAGAAAAGAACATAGTTTTCAATACAGAACACACAGTACTACATTATTTATTTATTTCTTGTTTAACCGTTTAAACCAACTGTTCCTTATGACCAGGATAGATAGAGTACTGTTACGTACTAAAATGAAAACATGATTACAACATTAATGGTAATGGAAATGCAACAAAGAAAACAAACATATGACAAACAATAACTTCTATCACTGATCTCAAACCAATCGACTTACATTTGCGTTGTTTCTGTAAAAGAGAAAAATAACACCAATTAATAAACTGTAATATCAGTAATCAAATAAAAATAATTGGTAATAAATTTCCAGGAATACCCACTATCGAGGGGATTCGCATTCACGAAATTGACAAAATTGAACATGCGAACAATCTTGTAGGCTTTTTGACCGTTAGGCCTATATATAGTTTGGGGGAGGCCCTAGGCTACACATTATTATTAATTAATTTTTCATGTTTAATTTTTGTGTTTTACAAAATTGAAAAATTTATGTTTTATACTGCCACCCCAGACCAGGGAGCATATGCAAGTATGAAGGCCTACAATGTAGGCCTACACTATTCCTAGCTGCGTACATGTAGTTCACTCCTAGCTCTTCCGCTACATAGGCTGTCATCTACCTAGCCTG